CATTTGACAGTAATTATTCCCTCTCTTGTAGTTAGGAAAACCGAATCACTTCGCTGTACTTTTCGTCTTCTCGCATTCGAAAATGTTGGTGTATTTTTTTGTCCCTTCATGTAGGTGCTGACTCCTCCATAGGACAGGGAGTACATCAGATTCCCCAAAATGAAGAATCGATCGAAACAGAGAACGATTTGAGGAATCTTCACTGTAGAAATAAGCATTTTACAACGCGTTCTCCTAGAGTTCCTTCAGTCACTAAAGATTCTTTCTCAGTGTAAATGTTGAAGTCGTATACGTATCCAGTCTTAGAATCGCAGCGCTCCCAAACTTTGATACCTCTCTTTACTGGTTTTATGGATTGGTACTGTCTTATACCGCTCCTTCCCCAGAATTTGATCATTGACTCGCCTATTTACTGCCTTGTGCTGTCAGTAAAACTCTTCAAAAAGGTACACTTCAAGCAGGAAACTACTTCTTCAATAAAGTATAATTTCGAAGCATGTGCAAGTTTCTCCGGAGAATTGAAATATAGTTTCGAAACCAAAAAAAGGAAATTCCTACTCATCACCTTTTGAATACCTGCATTTCCTAGCGAACAATTGTGCAACCAACAGTGAGCCATTTGAGGTGCCCTGTTGTAGCTCATGAACCGATAAAAGAGAGTAGGTTCGCCTATTGAAAAAAAGAGAGTATAATTTAAAAGTGTTAAAATCATAGTGATTTCAATTATTGAACAATAGAGAATGGATTCCAAAATTTAAAATAGTTGATTCAAGTATTGGTCAAAAAAGAGTTCAATCGAATAATGATCGATTATGTGTAGGTTCGAAAACTTATCGAATGATAACGGGCTCGAATACCGATGCAACACTTAGTGGTTTCTATTTATAAACACCGAGGGTGTGCGGTATTGGTCCTCGTTAAACTGTGCTACCGTAAAGTGCTCGACTTTGCGTGCAGGTCGTTTGGCTTCTGAAGCTGGGGTGCCATCCCCTCTGCAGAGGATCAAAATTGTGATGGCATGTCTTTGGATCATCGCCAATAGCCCATTGTGCAGCTCTAGTGCGACGTAAATGAGCTACAACAACAATAAAACTTCTCAAATGATATTGGGTTCAAGTACAGATAAAAGAAAAGTAAGTTAGAGTACTGATTAAATGATAGCGGAGTTTTAAATACCGATAATAAAGTAGTGAGTTAAAGTTTTAAACAATAGAGAGTGGATCCTAAAATTAACCAAATAATGATGGGCCACATTTAAAAAAAGTGTGGTTTTGGGAGGTGATAAAAAATGAGTTCGAGAACTAAGTAAATGATAGTTGGTTAAAGAACTTATAAAAACATCATTGGTTCGAATACTGATCAGAAAATTGTGTGGTTCCTAAAATTGATGAAATGATAGTGGGTTCGAGTACCGAATTAAAAGACAGTGGGATAGTACTAATTAAATAATACCGATTAAATTAGTTTAGTAGATACGAGGACCGTACAAAGTGAGAGGGTTTAATAAGTGTGCAAACAATAGTGTTTAATCGAGTAAGGATAATAAAGATTGCTTTGAACAAAACAGTGGGTTTTAAAATTAATCAAATGACAGGCGGTTCTAGTTAAGATTAAAAGATAGCTGATTCGAGTAATGCCCAAATGATAGAAGATTCGAGAACTGATAAATTATAGCCGATTTGAGTTCTAATAAAAATAGTTTGTTTGAGCACCGATTAAAAGATAGAGGATTTGAGAACTAGTCAAATAATAGTTGTTCGAAAATATCTATAAAAGCATCGTAGATTCGAGTACTAATTAAAAAAGTGTGTGGTTTCAAAATCTGAAAAAAAATGATAGTAGATTCGAGTTCTAATAAAAAGACAGCACGAATCAAATTATAGTGGTCAATAGTACCTATAAAATTACAGTTAAACGAAAGAGAATTGATTTGAAAACAGATTAAATTATTCGCGATCACAACGCGCGATTACGCCATCTTGGGACAAGACCAATTTTATATCTTGACCCTGCCCTCCTTTTTTCTTGCATAGGAATGCAATACGATATTATTCTCTTTCTTAATATTCTTATCACTGGCTGCGGTCAGTGTGCCGGTGGGTGACCACTTGGATCAGTCTGCGTAGGGACCGAGGGTGTGCGGTATTGGTCCTCGTTAAACTGTTCTACCGTAAAGTGCTCGACTTCGCGTGCAGGTCGTCGGGCTACCGAAGCGGGGGTGCCATCCCCTCAGCAGAGGATCAAAATTGTGATGGCATGTCTTCGGATCATCCTCAGGGATGTTTCCCAGACCGTCACTAATAGCCCATTGTGCAGCTCTAGTGCGACGTAAATGATTTACAGCTATACTTCTTAATATTTTTCGTATTTAACAATCAAAAATATTTTTTTAAACTTTTATGTTGAATGAAGTTTTGAGTTCCATATAGTTTCCCAAGCTTTTAATCTATTCGAAAATAAAGGCAGAAACTAACGTACTTCCTTCACCTATGACACTCCACACGTTAATGTTGAAAATATGCTAAGTGTTGTCATAGATAGAGAGTTCTGTTTTTCGTTCACCAATAGAGTATTCAAGTAACCATAAGTTAGTGGGCTCAATTACTGATCAAGTACTGCTAGCGGGAGCGAGCACCGATAAAAAAAAAACAGTGGGTTTAAGTGTGTGATTTCTAAAACTGATTAAAAGATACTGTTTTCACATGGATACAGACATAGTGGATTCGAGTATCTATAAACAGAGAGAGGGTTCTTCTACTTCATAGGCACTACAGCCGATTACCGACCAAGGCGTTCTCAGTCAGTTTACCTCATCTAGATCTATTCGATGGTATATTTCTCCTTCTATTAACTCCCAATTCCTTTAACCAATTTTCTACTCTATCTAACCTTTTTTTTTCTAAGGACTTTCTCTTTTTCCTTTCCCCTCTGGTGTTTGAAAGATTATTTTTTTTTAACAGGATCGTCATCACTGTATCGAAATAAATTTTCTAGCCACCCTATTTGAGAAACCTTGATCATTTGTCAGTATCTTTGTATTTTGATTGTAATGAGAGTGTGTTCAAGTAGCTATAAATAGATAGTGGGTTTGAATACCGATGAAAAGAAAATGGTTCAAGTTCTGAATGAAACAGAGTGGATTAAAAAAACTGATTAAAGTATAGTGGGTTGAAGTATCGATAAAAAAAATTGTGGGTCTGAGTTCCGATAAAAAGAAAGCGGGTTCAAGAACTGTCCTAATAATAGTGGGATTGTGTTCCTATGAAACGTAGTGAGTAAGAGTACTGTTCAATAAAGTGTGTGGTTTCTAAAAACTGATCAAATGATAGTGGACTTAAGTCCTGATGAAAAGATAATAGGTTCGAGTAACTAGGAGATAGTAGGATAAGGAACTATACGGAGGAGGATAAGGTAGGAACTATACGGAGGAGGAAACTTTGAAAAAAAATGAGTAGGTTTGAAAGAAAGTAGATGTATTGTTAATCAAATGATAGCATGTTCGAGTTCAGATAAAAATAGTGGGCTTTAGCTCCAAAAAAGAGAGAGTTTCTTCGAGTGCTTATAAAAAAGATAACAGGTTCAATTTTTGTGCAAAATAGCGTTGATTGGAGAATAAACAAAATATAGTGGGTTCGAGATCAGATAAAACAATAGCGAGTATGAGCATTGATGAAAAATGGAAGTTCGAATGCCGTTAAAAATATCGTAAGTTCAAGGATTGATCAAATGGTAGTTGGCTTGCGGACCGATGAAAACATCATGGTTTCGAGTAATGGTCAAAAATGTGTGTGATTTTGAAAACTGATCAAATGATTGTGTGTTTGAAAACTAATAAAAAGATAGTGGGTTTCAGTCCTGATACAGAGAGTGTGTATAAGCACCGATGAAAAATAGAGTGGGTTTGAGTACCAATTAAAAGATAGTGGGTTCAAGTATTCAACAAAAGAGAGTGGTATCGATAATTGATCACATGATAGTAGGTTCAAGTGCCGATTTAAAGATAATGTTGTTGGAAACCGATAAAAAAATAGTTCCAGTGCTTATAAGAAGATGTTGTGATCGAGTAATGATCAAATGATAGCTGGTATAAGTACCAATAATAAGATTGGTGATCGAAATAAGCTACAGATGGCGCAAAACAGAACTCTCTACCTTCTATGATACTTTTATTCTAAGCTTTGCATAAAACTGCAACCTCAGTAGAATATGAAATTTTATAATAAACGTATATTCAATTTAAATAATGAGTTTAAAATTCAAAAACATTATTAGTAATTGAGTTTTCGTATTATCTCTTAATAATAAAATAGGAAAAGAAATTCAAGGAATGCATTTTTAGTATTCAGTAAAGAATTTTTAAGAAAAAAGCAAAGGATAAATGTATTGTTAACCGAGATAAACTATAAAGTTAAAACTTTATCCCAATTGAAGCGGAAACTAAATATTTGAATCCAAATCTATATCAATGTAATGAAATATTTTTGAATATTTTAAAGGAATCTATTTTAATTTAGATGTTACACTTAGTTTATTATAGAATGCTGTAATAGCAGGATTAAGTATTAAACAGCGTAGCGATCAGGGAAAAAAGCACCCCACACTCCAAAAAGAATAAATATTACTAAAACGAAATAATAAAAATATGAGAAATTAGTTTCTTTAAAAGTTTACTAAATCAATACTTCAGAAGATCTTTTCCACGATTCGAATTCTTCCTTTTTATTTTACCTTAAATAAGTTACATTAATTAACTCCATTCTCAGTTTGTACTTACGATGAATAGCTATTCTCACTTTCTCCAGATATGTTGTCTGTTTTAAATCTAAGAATTATGTAATTTTGATTCTGCGATTAAGATTGATTTCACTGATTTTATGAAGGAAAAAAATAATATTACTTGCATTTGATATTATTTTGCTTAGATCTACGTTGCGTACTTTGATCAGAGTACAAAACAATACGTTTCAATCTAATTTAATGACAAAAGTGACGTAAAAAAATATTTGAATTTGCCCATTAAATAAATGGTTTCTTCAAGTGAAAAGCCTCACGCTGTCCAGATTTTCTTAATTTTCTTTTCTTAAACGACTGCTATTAAAAATGTAGTAGTTGCATTATAAACTGTAACGTTCCACTCTAAAGGATGATCCAATATTCAGGAATAAAATATTATTTCAGGTAAAGGATAATATCATTACCTCTTCTGCTTTAATTGTGATTTTAAAGGAAAAATAAATTAAAGTAAGGAAATTTCCTCTTTTCACTTTGCGGTTTTGATGGCGAAAGTATTTTGAATTCATTTATCAGTTAGTTCCCAATTAAGGAGATTTATTAGTTATTATAAACATGCATGCATTAAAAAGCGTATGAGATTTAGAGCAAATGGGGAGTTATGGGCTTGCTATCAGAATTTGGAATAAAGTTTAATTCTTTTTCGAATCTGTTGTGATATTTCTTTTTATATATGTAAAAGACAAAATTATTAATTTTGTTTAATTTTCAACGTTAACATTATTTGAAAATAAATACAGAAGCGTAAAACGTATTTTTAACAAATATTATTCATATTATAAATATCTGTATTTTTTAGTTTTGGTATTTTCAGCATTAATTTAGTTTATATGCGAAAATTATATTTCTTAGTTGTTTTTAAATCTGTATTTCTAGCTAAAAATAGGAAATATATGCCTAACTATTATAATACATAAAATAACGAGAGCAATTTTTTGTGATAATATTAAAATTCATTACAAAGTTGTCAACCGTACCTGGGGGATGATCAGTTTGGAGACGAAAATTTACAGAAATTATATTTCTAAATGGAAAGTTGCAGCAGCTTTGAGCACGGAGAGCTCGGAAACAGCTGTCAGGTTTCCTCTATTATAATAGGCGTTTTTGATTGCATCTCTGAAAACTGTGACTTGGTCAACAATAGATTCTTCAACAATAAACCCTACTAGTTGCTCTCAGATTAACTCGGAATTTTCTCAGAAGCCCTCTTCTAGTTTTTGGACATGGTACCACTATTTTTGCATATATTCGCATACGCTCCAGGAATTATGCCACCCTCCCCTGAATATATACCACATTTACCAGGGGAATTTTTTAAATTTGAGATTCTTTAATTACGGCTATAATTTATATTCACTAAAGGGAGCTGGGAAAAAAACACTGCCTGGATCTCGCTCATTTTTAAAAGACCAAAAGAGAGCATTAAAAAGCCTTAAGTTTTTCTTCGCGTGAAGAATTTTTATTTGTGATAATCAATAAAATTTAACAATGATATTCAAAATTTCAGTTTTTTAGTAGGACTGAATTGTTTTTTTACATTTTTGATTTCTGAAATATAAAAATTTTTGATTTTTAAAATATAAAAGTTGCTACGGAGTATCAGAGGATTAATTTTGAATTTCATCAAGGTATCTATGACTTTATACTGTTTTTTTTCATAATTAAGATTGCCTATCAAATGGTCAAACGACTTGTTTTTTCAGAAAAGATTTTATTTTCAGCGAAAATTAACTATCTACGGCAAGCAAAAAGTATCAGTTCTTTTTGGCTCAGATATTCTTCATAGACTGCCACGTTTTTCTTCTATATTCCTAACTTAAGTATTTCAGGAACATATACATATGTACATACTCTGAGATTTTCTTTTAGGATATTTCTAGCAGAATAGTTGAAAGGTTTGGTGATCATTTTAATTAAGATATAAGGGTGCAAAGAAAGGTAAGATTTTTTTATGTTTCATCCAAAAGGACATTATCTTCCTATTCGCCCTTCTAAACTTCCAGCACCTTTTCTTTGGTAATAATGATAGTGATAATTGCAATAATTTAGCTATGACCAAAACTAGGATCATCAATCAGAATTATTTTTATGGATTGACTGAGGCGACTAAAAAGACAGAGAAAGTTAGGGATGTCCAGTGTCCCGTTGAATGTTTGAAAAAATCTAGGCAATGTGGATATTATTTTAACCTGACATTGTGGTTGAAAATTTCCCCATCAGGCAAGTGCTTTCTTGTAACACTTATCAATCTGGTGTTTCTTCTGACATAATTACACTTTTATTATTGTTTCTAAGTTTTTGCGTATTCAGATGCTTGAATAAATTTTTTTTTTACATTGCATTGCAAAATAAATACGATAGTATACTACAATACAATAATTTATAATTTTTATGCAAAACTGAATAGTTCGTATTATTTCACAGTTTTACCTTTTAAGAAAACTAAACAATGATCTAAGTAGAGCCACGAAAAATAAAAGTGACCCCTATTGATTTTATTGATGAAAATGAAAAAGTAGGATTAGTAATTTTTTCTAATTTTTAATGTAACAATTATTACAAAATGTATGCATGGTTTTGTCGTAATTTTCACTGTAAATAAAAGTATATAAAGTAATTATAATCATTTTCTACTTTTTCTTTAGAGTTTCTGTGTTTTAACAGTCAGACGTGATGATAAACTGTATGTTAAACTATATACGTAATATTACATGCTTCATAGTGTTCACAAATTTTTAATTCACGGAGCTGATGCTATTAAAACACTTTGAAATTCCGATTGTTGAACTATCTGAAAAAATTCTTGAAACACTTCTAGACATAAAGGAGAATATCTTTTTGGAAAAGATTCTAAATTGCATAAGATTGAAAATTTAATGAAATGATTTTTACACAGTAGTACTTCGCTTACTTCCAATATTCGAAATACTTTTTGCAAAAAATGTTTAAAGAACTCGATCCAACGGTAAAAAAATATCTTATTTAAAGAACCTTTTTGAAATCATTTGAATAGATATTGTAATATAGTTTTGACACAAATATTCCAATAAATCTGACAATTTATTAAAATTATAATTTTCTTAAATACTTGTCTGTAAGAACTTTTATTTTTATTTATTTTATTCTTTCTCTTCTTCTTTTTCGTATCACTTCTCTCTTTCTTTTCTTTTTTAGTTTTCGTTTTTTTCCTCTCTCCAAAATGCCATAATGAGTTTTGAAGACTATATGCTTGATAGTAATTTAAAACAATAAATTTACAGAAAAAATCACTTTAAAGTAATATCAAATTGTGAGTTAGGAAAATGTTTGGCATTAAAGCACCTTTTTGCACTAAAACCTTTTATTTATAATTTTAAGAAAATGTAACTGAAGTATGAAATTTTAGCCATTTTTTTGTGTAAATAAAGACCACTGTACAGAGGTTCTTTGTCTCTTGACTAGCAGGATTGACATTAGTGTAGCCCCACCCCCTGGAGTGGACATAAAAATCTCCAATCAAAATGGTTTTTCATCAATTAGAAGATTATAGAGATTTGATTTTCTGACAGAGGGATGTGTGAACAATATGCAATTCTGAATAAGCGACCCCCTTTCCATAATTAAAATTCAACAATTTCATACTTATCATCAATATTGTCTATTTGTTTAATAGTGTAAAATTGAAATAAGATATTATTTTTTATGTTTGTTGAAATTCACAGGCGATTTGTCTAAACTTTGGCTATAAATATGGTTGATAGCCAGAGAATGGGGAGCAACTAAGAGTTTTTACCTGAAAATTTGTTTCCTGTTATGGGGAAATATAAATGCTTCCTGAGAGATTTTAACAGTAGCGTTTCAATGCTGAATAAGTTGATTAAAAATCTCAGAAGAGGAAAAAAACTGATAAAGTTGGAGTTATAGATCTCTTAGCCGTCGAAACGTTTCCGGGGTACACCACGAGGAGGTNTTTTTTTTTTTTTTTTTTTTTTTTTTTTTTTTTTTTTTTTTTTTTTAAGTAAATATTTTTATTGTTGTATTTTTAGATAATTCTTAAATTTTGTTACTGGTATTTATTGTTAAATTTTCAATAATTTTTCTAATACAACAATTTTTTTTTTACAGAATGAATTTTTTTTCTTTGTATTACCAGTAATGCAGTTTTTTATGATTTAAGTTCCTACAATTTTTTTTTTGCAAAAATTTATATGTATTTGATTTATGCAAGTCGATTGTTTTCTCTGACATGGACAATGTAGGAATTATGAAGGAGATCCGAACTAGTTTCTTTCTCATCTGAAATGTTGTTTTCTCTTTTATCATTCAAGTTGATCTTTATCATCCTTTCAGAAAAATAATTTTGCATACATTTCGATTCATACAAATCTATGTTCTTCCGTGACATAAAATAGGTTTTACGAAGAAGGCAAAGCATTTTCTTTTTCTTTTTTTATCTTAAATTGCTTTCAACAATTTTTTTAAGTACAAATTTCTTTTTTTTTTTTTTTTTTTTTTTTTTNTTTTTTTTTTGCAATATAGCTTTTTTTCTTCTTTTCCCTTTGCGTATCTTATAATCTTTATCATCCTGTCCGCAACAACTCTACATACATTTCGATTCATTCCAATCTATTTTTTCCCGCAACAGGAACAAAATAGATTTTTGAAGTAGGACCAAAACCCTTTCTTTTCTCTTTTCTCATTTGTAATACAGTCTCCTCTTTGACCATCAAAATTGGTCTCCCTCCTGAAAAAAAATTAATTTTTATAATTAAAGTAATATCTGTATCTAGTCATTTTGAGGAATCACTAAATCATATCAGAATAGTATGTTACTTTTAAAATCAAAAAACTTTTATTAACTGATTATTGCAAAATTAGGTGTCCGAAAATAAACAACGTAAAGTTTCTTTAATATTAAAATAAGTCTTTATAATTTATAACATAGAAGATATTTATGAATTTAAAAGTATTATATGTATTGCTATTTTGATGTAATAGTTGAGTATACTAGAATTAAAGTAAAACTCTTCATCGATGAATTCTATTAAAAGGAAATTAAATATATGAATGTTCTAATCGCATACAGGGAATAGTCATACCAATTTATTTTAAAAATAGTAGATTTTTTATTAGGACGCGTAAACCTGTTCTAATTTTAAATTTTAACTAAGAAAAAGAGTGTTTCGCAATTCATGATAAATGTTAAATTTAATTTAAATAAATGTAAACTTCTTTAAAAAGAAAAACTTCCTGTTTATTCTAAATATTTGCTATCAACTTATGGAACCTAAATGTTCATTGTCTTCTATTGTTTTAACGTTTTCTTGCAAAAAAGGTACATAAATTTATAAAGCGATATTATTCATTGTAATTTCATTGTAACATTCGCATCGTAAGAGAATTTATAAATTTAAATTATGTTATTCCTTACATATGCTGCATGCCACATTCATAATCTCACTGTTATAGTTGCATTTAATGCAGTTGCAAAGGTTATCAATTATTATTAAAAAATTTATTCTTAGGCTCAAATTTAGTTCAGTTTATGTTTATTTTTACGAAAAAAAGATGTAATTCCATTAAGTGGAATTATTTAGCTCTGAAATTTATATATAAGCATTTAATCACAAATTTCAGTAATATTTTTCAAGCAATTTACATGATTTTGACAAGGCAACGGCTCCTATATCTTTAGTTATTAAAAAGGAGATTTTTTATTATTTAAAATTATTTTTTTTTTACTTTTTAAAAGTTTTTGTATACCTTATAATTATTAGTTATTATTTTTTTGGCGCATTTAAAGCAGAAATAAAATAGTATTTTTAATAGTGGCTTTGAAATCAAGAAAGTACTAATTTTTTTTATTAAAAAAATATTGCAATCATGAGAATTTGTTTTCTAAATATGTACGAGAATGTTATGAGAGTTTACAGGGAAATAATTCAAAACTACATGTAATAAGGTATAATTATTTTTAATTTTCAAAAATACTGATCTATTTCATAATTAAACGAATTTTTTTGACTCATTATAAGCAAAAATAAATTTTTTTTTAGCATTGGCTATGAATTCAGGAAAGTACCATGTCGCTGTTGGAGTTTTAAAATGATAATTCTTTTTATTGAGCTATTTATTTTTTTAATCTTTATTTTTATATTTTTTTTGGTACTTATATTTTACAGCTGCAGAAAACAGTCAAATATGGTACTTTTTCATTCAAGCGTTATTCACGGGCCATGAATAAATGATTCGTAGTTTACCTGCTGGATATATATTGTTCAATTTTCTAATGATGTCGTTAAAAAAGTGAAAAAAAGAGTAAATATTGAAAGCGCTCTTATTAATCAAAAGTACTTGAAATAGCTGGAAAAAGCATTAAAACTAAAATAACTCAAATTAAATACAAATTTACATACCTTTGGTTTTGAAAATCCTCAACTCTATGTTTCTTATCAGAAACATTTTCAATAATTCCGGGGTCTCCAGAACCTCCAGAATCATATGCCACTCTAAAATTATTAATGAAAATAATGATTTTTTATGTATTTTCAAAGCATAAATTTTAGAATTATAATAAATTTTCATTATTTTTTTAATTATAAAGTGATTAGTTATTTTTAAAAAGAGTTGACTTTAAGCGTATTCAGAATTTCAACAATGATTTTTTTTCGCAGAATAATATTTTGGTTTTAATATACATGTGGGTAAGGTTTTAGTATGTGTGTGAGTAATTAACACAAGTATATATGAATTTTGTTTTGATAAAACTTTAAAATTGAATCTGTTAAAATACTTCAGCCAGAAATTCTAAAGCAAAAATACACAAATATTCTTAAAATGCCCATTTTTTTATACTAAGAATAGTGTTAGTGTAAGTTTTCTTCCCGGAATCTAAAATGGTTTGATGTTTTATGTTACACCTTCCTCATTGTTAATTAATTGGATTTCAATAATTTGTTGCATCTTATCGCTGCTGAAACTCATAATCCTTAATGAGTATGCTTTGGATTTTCAAAATGTATACTAAGGGCCATCATTACAGAACACCTTGTAAGTTTATTGGTAATTTTGAAGTCTTTGAAATCCTTCGAAATGCCAATCTTTATTTATCACTTTTGTTTTCATAAATTTTCTTTTTGCATTTATCCTTGCGTTTTTTTTATGCTTATNTTAATGATGTTGTTAAAAAAGTGAAAAAAAGAGTAAATATTGAAAGCGCTCTGATTAATCAAAAGTACTTGAAATAGCTGGAAAAAGCATTAAAACTAAAATAACTCAAATTAAATACAGATATACATACCTTTGGTTTTGAAAATTCTCAACTCTATGTTTCTCATCAGAAACATTTTCAATAATTCCGGGGTCTCCAGAACCTCCAGAATCATATGCCACTCTAAAAGTATTAACGAAAATAATGAATTTTTATATTGTTTTCAATGCATAAATTGTAGAATTATAATAAATTTCGTTATTTTTTTAATTATAAAGTGATTAGTTATTTTAAAAAAGAGTTAACTTTAGGCGTATTCAGAATTTCAACAATGATTTTTTTTCGCAGAATAATATTTTGGTTTTAATATACATGTGGGTAAGGTTTTAGTATGTGTGTGAGTAATTAACACAAGTATATATGAATTTTGTTTTGATAAAACTTGAAAATTGAATCTGTTAAGATACTTCAGTCAGAAATTCTAAAGCAAAAATATACAAATATTCTTAAAATGTCCATTTTTTTATACTAAGAATAGTGTTAGTGTTAGTTTTCGTCCCGGAATCTAAAATGTTTTGATGTTTTATGTTACAGCTTCCTCATTAGTAATTAATTGGATTTCAATAACTTGTTGCATCTTATCGTTGCTGAAACTCATAATCCCTGATGAGTATGCTTTTTCAATCTACCCTGTGGTTATGGATTTTAAAAATGTATACTAAGGGCCATCATTACAGAACACCTTGTAAGTTTATTGGTAATTTTGAAGTCTTTGAAATCCTTCGAAATGCCAATCTTTATTTATCACTTTTGTTTTCATAAATTTTCTTTTAGCATTTATCCTTGCGTTTTTTTATGCTTATCTACATAAAAAGAAATATAGTATGGCGAAAAATACAAAAATAAATAAAAATGTAATGAGCTGTTTCTCAACACCCATTTAATTTTCTAAAAGGAACGGCAGGATAAAATTAAGATATTATTACATTTAGTTTTGTTTCTTCCAAATTTTGATTGAAAATATTGGTATTCAACATAATCGGGAAATTGCAAAACTTAGCATATTATACAGTCTTAATAAACAGATAATACTATTGTCGTCAAGTTTTAGTTTAAAATTCTAATTTAATTAAATAAATATAGGGCTTAGGTATCGAATTACTCATCAAATTTATTATTCTTTTGAAATTTTTTATTATTAAACAGAACTCATAACTATACAAATTAAAAATCATAACTTATATGAATAAAAATAAATTTCATGTCCTAGACGTGATTTATAACTGAATAACTCACCTGTAAAATAGAAAGTCTATTGCTTAATGATATCATAATTACTTAGATTTATATTTATTCTGAGTACAGTAGATTGAAGCTCATGAGATAATTTATTAAAAAAAATATTTTTCTAAAATATTTATCTTTCTGAAAATTATAATATATATTTATATCCTTTAAAGCAATTAAAGTTTAAAAAAATAAAATATAAATAAATTTAGAAGTATCCTTCTGCTGCCCCAAACGTAGAAAGGCAAGATCACAAAACATTTTTACTTATATATTAAAAAAAATATTCAATATGAATACAAATTATCATACCTTATATTTTCACCATTATCTATAGTCAGATTTCGAGTAACAAAATCCCCAATACATTCAGATTCAACAAAGAATCCGTATTGGTCACATTCAACAATCTGGTCACCACTAAAATTATAAAAGGTCATTTTTCAAGTATCAGCACGAATTATAATGCATAGATGAATATATTTTAAATTTTTAACCAGATCAAAAAATAAGGATATGTATTTAATATGAATTTTTACAGTGTTTAGTATTTTCTACCCTAAGAATGAAAAACTTATATAAACATATAGGGTTGAAAATGCCTCATGAAAATGGAATTCAGTTAAATAAAATAATATATATGCTGGACTTTATAAAAGTTATAAAATCTGAATAATAAAAAATTAAATTTTGTCTAATCACTAATATATAAAATTTTATCTTTGTTATTTGAAAATAGAGTTAGTGTTAACTCTTAAAAAATGGTTGAATTTGCTCTGAAATTATTTTTATACTTTTTCATTGTTATCTTGTCCAGAGGTATGTGAGCTTGTTAGGGTTTCCTACTTTCACTGGTTCAATCCATAATTAATAGATGAAAACTGTAATCAATCGTCTATATAATTAATAAGATAAAGATTTTGTTATGTTAAATCTGACGATACAGTATCCTTTTTTACTGGTCTGTACATTTCTAGTTGAAACAGAAACTATTAAACATTTTAATTAATTATTTAATTAATTTCTGACTTTTGATTAATTAAGAATAAATATTGAAGAATAAGATACCCATATATCTTTAAAAATAATTAGGTAGATCACATGAGTTAATAGTTCCAATTATTTATTTTAATTATTAAATCTTCTTCTTAGTTTTATTCGGAAAAATTACAAAATTATAATTTGAGTAAAAAGTAAATACAATTTATGAATTAAAGCAACATTTGGGGACTCCTATACACCATATGCAGATTTTATTACTGGATACGACAATTACTTGCAGATATTTTAAGATCTATTAAAAGTAGAATTATTTAAAACATTTGAGATTGTGTTAATATTTAAAAATATTTGTTTCATTTTTATTTTTATGATGTATTTAAAAAAGTCAAAATGTTGAACATTTATTTTAAAAAAATTAATCATTTCTGAAGGAGCTTTACGTAATTCTTACACAGGCAAGTAATACTACTAAAGAAATATTTAAAAATACTAAGTAAACTCAATTTAAATCTAATTTTGCTTACCCAATATATTCATCAATCTCATACGTTGGAATTTCCTCATAACCTTCTTCCACACCAGACTCAAAATTAAATCCAAATTCATCATTGCCAACTAGGACAACACTAAAATTATAATAGGTCATTATTCACTATTTTGCCACGATTTGTAATAATCATATGTATTCATTTTAAGTTTTCTTATTTTCTCGAAAAACAATACTTTGTTTTTTTTATTCAAAATGCATACAAGTTTATTAACATTTATTTAAAAATAAGATGTTGAAGATTTTTCTATACAAAACATCTCTTTTTTAATCTACTACGGACGTTTATTCTTGAAAGGTTGCTCTTTATTCAAAAAATTGGGATAAAACATCCATAATCATGTGTAGAATTGTGTACAATGATAAGTGACAAATAAGTAGTTTTGTCTATAACAATCTTCATATAATTTAGTTAGATTTGCAGAAATCAACTAGTTAAAATAAGAAAGAGAAAATTTGGAAAGAGCCTTATGCAATGTGTATGTAACATATGTTATGTAACATAGACAAGTAATATTTAGAAAGAAATTATGGAATGCTAATAAAACTCAATTTGCATGCAACTAAACATACCTTTTTTTCTCATCATTCTCATTTATTTGAGTCTGAGTAACAAATTCATCTTTACAATCAGCCTCAACATAACATCCATAATCATCATATTTCACATCAAGTTCAACACTAAAATAATAATATATCATTGTTTATTACTATTTCGGCATGATTCATATTACATAGATGTATACTTTTTAATGTGTAATACTTATAGAAACTAGTGAATATTTTTCACGCAAACGGTGCAAGTGTTTACAATCGAATTATTCAAAAATACACTGTTGATTAATACTTAAGGTGTAATATTGTGCATGTAATGCTTTAAATTTGATTCCAATAGCTAAGATAAAAAGTTCAATAACATTTGCAAACTTCTGCTTAATAATAAAATTGTTGAAATTTATCAGTGATGTTATTTAAGAAATAAAGTTTAATATGCAAAAAATGTTTCATTGTTTTGTTTATTTTTTAAAAAAAAATATTTTATCCTGTTTAATACTTTATTGTTAAAGGGTGAATAAATTTGTTTATCAGACGTATTTTATATTTATATCGTAACTGAATAGACTATGAATAATACATTTAAGGTGAAATATTTATAACTGCTGAAATTTGTGGAGTCTAGTATTTAGGGGCTCACATATCATATTTAATTTAGGAATTACTTTTTTCTAACCAGTTTGCTTATAATTTAGGTTAACGAATATTAAATTGACTTTTTCAAATCTAAATTGTACCTAAATTTTTAATTTTTAATTTAAAAGGCCTTGAAGTTTATTCAAGGAATTCAAGGATATTATCAGTTTTTTTAATAAATATGTAAGCAGTTCATGATTTACATGGGCCAATCTCCCGCAATACTACATTTTCTGCGGTAAAGCTTCTTCTATATCTTTAGTTGTTAAAAACATATTGCATAAATTAAATTTGCAGATCTGTTTATTTGTTAAATCATAACCTGCGTACTTAAAAATAGCTTTAAGTAAAAAAATGTAAGGTACTCATCCTAAATATATAAGTTCCGTTGATGAATATTTATATGATAATAATTTGGATGTAATCTTTATAATCATTAACAGTTCAATAATTTTAAAGAGTGAGTTTCTGCTTAATTGCACTATGTGATTGTAACTATGAGTTTCAATAGTTTTATGCGTAATTTTAAGCATTTGGAACAGCAGAAAACATGCAACACACCGAAATTACTAACTGAAAATTTGAAGAAATTTCAATTTAAAGAAAAATTAGCATACCTGATGTTTTTTAGAATCTCATCACCTAATGGATGGGTCGATGTGTTTTCCACAATTTCCGGTTCCTCAGAACCTCCAAAATCAATTTCTACAATCCTAAAATAAGCATAAAATGAATCTTAATAAATTCCTGTGTATGTATAATTTTAAATAACTTAAGGTATGCCTGTTTTTTTTATTTAAAGAAAATAGTTGGCAATCAATTAAGAAAATCATCATTAAAAAATAAGTTTTTCTCAGTGGTCTTCTAAGTTCTTCACATTTTAATTAAATTGATACTTTTGATATGTTTCATTAAGTTACGCGAGATGATTTTGCATCTTCTTAAAAAATCTTGTAACGTTTTATCCTGCTTGTCAATTAGTGAATAAATGTGAAAATTTTCTTGTCAACTATTAGAAAGCATAGTCACAACTTATTATTTAAACTGGAAGAAAATTAGCTGTCAAAAGCTAACAAATCATTGCAAATCTTCATCAGTGCAAGTGTAGACTGAAAACATTGATATCAGTTTGAGAGTTTGAATAATCTTGGGGATTTTCTAATTATTTTGCTTTAAATCTTTTTTTTCTTCCAGTATTATTTCACTTCATCCTTCTCAGTAGTAATTTTTTTGCAGCTCAAATAGTATAAATATTAGTTTGTGATATCAATCATTTAAACTTCTTTATTTAATTTTTTTACAAGAATTTTAATTATCTACATTGAATTACTATATACGTTCCATATTTAGAAATAATAATTATTAAGTATAATCCTACATAAAATTAGTTCTGATTTAAAAGTAGTTTTTTAAGAAAATCTTCATTTTATGTTTTATTTGTTTTGTTAATGATACTTTATATGTAAATGAATTTGAAGGAAAGTCTAACAAAGAATTAAAAAGTAATGAGCTTTGTTTATTAGCAATCATTTTGCGAATTAAAAATAGGAAACGATATCATATTCATATTTGTTTTAATTTTAATTCGTGTTTCTGCAAATTTTCTATTAAAACTGTTGACAATCCAAGTTTCCCAATTTTCAAAAAGCATATTTCTCTTTTTTTAGTACTGTTCATTGTCCAGTCTATAGAAGGTAACATCACCAGTACAATTAAAGAGATTTTAAAGGAATGCTACAACATCAATTCAATTGCAACAAGAAACTTCTAATTATAATTTGACTTGAAACCTAATTTTTGAAAATGTTTCCTATTAAGTTATAATAAATGAAGAATGATGAAATAATTTGGTATCAGTTTAGATTCTTGCTAAAAAAATGAACTTTCAGCTAATGTAAGACATTAGACACTCGTTTTGTCTTAATTTAATAATAAAGTGTAAAATCTCCATAGTGAATGAACTATATTTAATCTTAAAAAACTCGCTTGTATATGATTTGAAATTAAGGCATTTGTTAAACCTTTAATATGATTGCACATCCTAAAATTATTGAATTTTTTCACCTTTCACTTTTCTCTGTTTTTTTCTGCAATCAAGGAGGTTTTACAATTTTTCTCTTAGCCTTTCACAATCGAGTGATTCAATCGATGTTTAAGATTGTGAAAATATAGATTGTGTTACAATAACCATCCTAATCTTTACAAAACAAAATTATGAACGGAAAGATATGTACCATCCAAAAGTTTGCTAACACACAGAGAAAAATATTCTTGTAGATAAAATTATCGTATTGTGTGGTAATGACAATTTTGATAAAAAGAACAACATATTCTGGTAATGAAAATCAAAATATATACGGTATTGAAACCATTCATTTGGTACATTTTCTCTTCATATGGTACTGAATTAACGGAAATTGTAGTTTTTAAAAATATAATTCTTATTCCCTCACATTTAGTAAAAAAAAAGAGCATTAAGAAGTTATTTTAACCGGATCAATGATTTTTAAATCATGGTCTAAAGTATCATGATAAAATTACTAAATGTTACTTCATATATCAAATTTTTGACATATTGTTAATTTTACCAAAATATTTACCAAAGTGCTTTATTTTGAACTACCAAGATTTCTTGTGTTCTCATAGATCAATGGATATGATAAATCTCTCCATATTCTGGTAGTTTTGGCAGTTATTTTTTTTAGTGCCGTTTGGATTTTTTTCCAATCCATGCCTATATATTTATAATCTTAATTTGTGTTCATTTTTAGGGAATTCAGAGTATTTATGATTATATCATATTAATCGACTTAAACAATATATACTTACTCATCGATTGTTTCCTCCTCACTTTCGAGATCATCATAATCATCCTCATCAGCTAAATATAATTTCACAATTAGCAAAATTCCAAGTTTTCAAATTTTAGAAATTTATAATATGATCTAAATTCTAAAAAGAAGTTATCAGTAATTTTAAAACCATCTTTAAACGCTTTGTTCTTATTTTAAATTTATAATACTTTAAAAATTGCTACTGTTATTCATTACAACTATGAAAATTATAATAATATCTTCAACGTGCATGTTTGTCATAATTTAATTACAAATTTAATGATTATTTACTTATATTTGCATGTTTTACTATGCAAGCCAGTTTAATAAAAGAAATATTTTTTTACCTATTGTGTTTTTTTATACTAAAAAAATTTGATTTTCTTATCATGTTTAAATGTGTAAACTTTTTTCTTCAAATCTGTATAAATACATTATAATACATAAGTCTTATTTTATATGTCAATAACACATAAAATAAAACACTATAAATAAAATAAAATAACATGCATGAAATTTCAGGAAATCATCAATCAAACCGATTTTTAAGAATAAATCATAGATTTTTTCTTCTAAAATTTTAGTTTTTGAAAGTTAGTATATATCTGAAGAACATTTTTTCCTTAAAATAATACTGATTTACAACTCAAACATCCTCATGCAGTGTATTCACAAAATTTAAAAGAGGAACTATTAAATAAGTACTGCCCTAGGTTAAACAGTTTTATTTTTCTTAACAAAAAATTCTTTTATATAATTACTGTCGCATTTTTGACTGGCCACCTAACTAGATTATCTGAACATACATTATAGATTTTGTCATCTTGATATCTAAGATAAAAATTCTAAATTGAAAAGTTTATTCATAATACGAGCATTCTTGTCCGATAAAGTTTATTAAATTATCATCTGCATTAAATAATTAGAATATGGGATCACAAGAACATTAAATCTTTATAGTATTGAAAATCAACTTAAAACTTGCTTCTATCATAACATTATATTATACTTTAGTATCATAACAATAGCAGCAGAAGTCTTTTAAGTTTTCATGACATAAATTGCTTCTTTGTATGAAAAGTAGTAGACAAGATTATGTAAAAAATTAAAAATCTATTAAGTGTAATTTTTCTGAAAAACACTTTATTCTATGGATTATTTTTTTTCTTTGCGCTTCTTCTTTGATATCACTCACTTATTTTGACAGAGACCTAAATAGAATTTAGAAAGATATTTTTAGGAGAAATTTGGCTACGTTATGAAAAATTGTTACCATTTAATTGCGCCCTCATGAAAACAAAACAATTTAACGGGAAAGCCGATTTTCATCGAAATATTTTGGCATAAAAAAGGACCATTTACAAACTATTATATTTTAGAGATGGAACCTTCAAAATTTTTTTAATTTCAAAATCGCCTTTTATTACAAAATTTTAATAAAACAATTACTATTTATAAACAATTCTAATAAAACCAATAAAAAGACAAAAAATAATTAAAAAAAAGAGAAAATAAAGAAAAATTATAATAAGTTGTATTTACTGGGCATAAGTTGCAAGTACATATTACCCAAAATAATAAAAAATAAAAAGAAATATTTTTAAAGAGAAAAATAAAAATTATTAGTTAGTAAATAGTCTTTAAAAATATTAAAAAAATTAAAAATTGAAAAAAAAAATAATAATTAAAAAGCCAGAAAGCAAAATAAGGAAAAGTTATAATCTCGTTATAAGCTCATATAATTATAACCTCAAAAAAGAGTGCTATCTTATACTGTATTAATATAGCCGAAGAAAAATATATCAATTCAATAGTATTGTAATGATATAGATCATGACATTTAGTGCCAGTATTAGTTTTTAAGTTAATTGCAAATTTTTATTGTCTTGCTTCTAACATTTGAAATTTTGAAATTCTTTTTCGCTGAAAGAGTCTAAATTTCTTCACTAAGTTTTGTCTACTAAAACCTCGATAATTTGCAAGACTGCAAATATTGGAATGAATATAAAAAGTATAGGCTTACCCATAGGCCGAGGATACTTCATCATCTGGTCTAACCAGTGATTAATAATCGCCTGTTTGTACAAAGGAAATTTCTTCCTATGCATTCGCCAGAAAGGCGTAAAGGTTCGGAGATATAAATCACTCATAATCGCACTTTTTTAAAGCTTTTCAAAATCGCCGTCAAATTTGACAACATACACTGAGTATAGCTCAAAAAAGAATGTCCAACAAATTGTTTTTAATAGATTTCTTTTCTGTTTTCAACAATTAACTTTTTTGGTAACAATGTATAACAATCAAACTTTATATACATTTCCCAGATGTTTCAATCTAGCTATTGTTATAAATAAACTCTAATAATGCATTTTTGTATTTGATTATTTAAATGAAATATAAAAAAATTACATTGTTGAAAAAAAGGGAAGCCAGTAGCAGTTTCAAAAGCTATTAAATTAAACTTACCAATATGGATTTCTTAGTGAACTGAAATTAAAAAAAAAATAATTGCAAATTTTGTGAAAACTTATAGATGAATTTATTACATAAAAAGCATGTAAAATATCCAGAATGGTGTCTATCGCACACCATTTTTTAGAATAATTTTTAATAATTTACACTTGAGTAAAAGATGCTAATATCTGGAAGAAATAAGACTATTGGTACTAACTCTGTACATCAATCATTTTTACTGATAGCTTGATTTTCGTTTGCATTTAGAGAACATCGCGTACTACGAAACTCAACTTTTTTAAAACACTTAAAAATGGTTATATTTAGTTTAGTTACCTAAATAATTAAAAAAATACAGAACTTTACTTCAAATCCAATCAAAACCAGATTACTCGGCAGGGTAGAGTACAAAAGTTTTATAGCAATTTAAATGATCTGGTTTATCCATCCGAATATAAAACGTTCTTTAGATTAAAAAGTCCAACAGCATAAGTTTGATTAGTTTCCGTTCACTATATTGTAGAAAAAAATGACTAATCCCTTTTTAAATGTACTGCGTGTTTTTTTGCACTGTCTTATTAGTTAGTTCAAATATAAAAATTTAGAAATAGATTTTTTTGGTAACAAAATTTAAATTTATGATAAGAATATTAAATTATTTAACGTTATAAATGCAAACAAATGTTAAAAATTTTCCTTTAAGGAAAAATACTATTACAAATTGCATTTAAGACTTAATTTTTCCAGTTTTTGAAAATTTGACGCATTGAGACTAAATTTATTTTTGAAATCTTACGCAACAAAATTTAGATTTCTGCGTCTAAATGTCATTTTGTTAAAATCCTACATACCTTATTGCAGTTTTAACTTTAAATAAATTTAACTATTTGTTATTGCTGAAAATTAGGTTAAATTGACCCTGAACTAAATCAAGCAGCCTGAGTCTTAGCGAAAAATTCGATTTACGTAAAACATAAAACTTTTAATGATTTACACTCTTACAGTATTGTTTTAATTTTAAATCTCGATAAATTTATTGCGATTATTTTATATTTTTTAACAATATGAAAATAGTATTTAAAAAATGTTAAATTATAGTTTTTTCTTACGATTTCGATTATTGGATTTTCGACATTGGATTTCAAATTTTCCGGTTGATTTTACTATTTTAATTTAAATATCACATGTAAAAATCCTTATTTCCTCAAATTCTTAAGAAATAAGGATTAAATAAGGAAGGTTCAATTCTTCTTGAATTGCAAAGTATTCGCTTTACCAGCTCTCGTGTACTAATGTTTAGAAAGAACACAAATGTAAATTTTTTTTGAGGTGTGTCGAAGACATAATATGCAATAGTTATGAAGAGAATATCATTTGCTTCATTATGCATTCTATTAATCTTAATTAGTGTTTCAAGAACAGATTCATTATATTTGTTTATAACCTGCTGAAAACCACCTAATCTCGTAGAAAATAAAAATTTTCAAAAATTGCAATTGTTTTCAGTCTGAAATTTTCAATCTGTAAATTTTCTTAATATTTAATATGAGGCTTATCGTTGTTCAAAATCGAAGTAAATTAACAACACGAAATAGTAAGAATTTAAAAAAAAGTTCCATAGCTCCTAAGTACTAATGTTAATCGTGAATGTAAAAGGAAGTAAGTAAGTGAAGGACTTCTTTTTAATCGTATGTAAAAAGAAGTCCTTTAAAAAATGGGTACTTAGGAAATATCCCGTCGACTATTTCCCCCAACATTATGCCGAAGTCATTTCGGCATCTTCAAAATTTATTTTAATATAATAATTGATTATAAAGACATTGATAAAATACAAATATTACTGATTGCATGCTAAAAAGGCGAAAATATTTAAATTTGAATTATTTCCAAACTTATTTTCAGATTTGGTTTAAATGGTCTATGGGATCGTAAGTACTGAGAAGTGCAATAAAGAATTGTTCACATGTCGCATTTGTTTTCATTCGCCTCTGACATCTACTTCTATTTATTGAAAAATAACTAAGGGTGTTTAGATACCCTATTATTTTCAAAAATTCAACAAATACGAAATCGATAGTTTTTTAAACTGTTTAGTTTCATTTATGAAATTAACTTAATATTTTAGCAATTTAAAATAAGACACCAATAGTATATATACACGCGTTTAAACACCAAATTTAAATATTGATTTCTAATAATTTGTGCTATTTATTTT